GGGAGAAAATAATATCCAGACTCTTTAGAAATACATTCTTAGAAGTGCTGCTCTTTGGGCTTGCCAGAACTTTAAAAAGAACCATAAATCATTGATTTCAGTCATCTCAGCTGACTGAAGTAAATATAACTGAAATAATCTAATGGGGTCAAATGACCCAGTGTCCCTATTTTGTTACTCCCAGGGACTGGAATTTGGGGACGAAGTAGAGATTTTATAAAAGAGCCCAAATGTCGTTGATATACAAACTATAATAGTGTACTTGTTAAAAATCTAGAAAAAAAAATCGGGAAAGGACAGAATTTACTTTGTTTTGTAAAAACTAAAGGAAAAAATCTGTTAGCAGAATGCTACTCTCATATGCATTATCTGTTCATAGTTTATGTTCCTTTATCAACTTGTCCATCAAAATACAATTTTCAGGGCTGGGGTTGTGGCTCAGTGGTAGAGCGCTCACCTAGCACCTGCAAGGTGCTGGGTTTGATCCTCAGCACCACATAAACATAAATGAATAAAATAAAGGTATGTGTCCAACTATAACTAAAAAAAATACAGTTTTCATATAGTGATAATCATAGTATAAATGTAACAGTCTGTCATTTAACTTATTTCACTTGTTGATGTGACATACACCGGGTTTCCCTAAATTTGTCCTTATCTCTAAAGGCAACCTTTAGAATGCCTTGCCTCATTGGTTTTTCAGGTGAGGACTAAAGGCACCGTTTTGTTTTCTCTCTTACCCTCCTTGCCAGGTGCTTGAGAATAACACTTGCAGAGGACTCTGAGCAATTTTGTGCTAATTTTTGGTGGCAGAGGATCCATTAGAAGATAGAAGATTTTTATGCTGAAAAAAGAATCAGGGTTGAGGCTGTAACACTTTGATTCTTGGAACATGAGTCTAGCTGCATTTTGCGTCTGTGCAGGGGTACTCTATTTTAGACTAGTCTTTGTCCATTTTCTGTTTCTCTGACAAAATAACTGAGGCTGAGTATTTCTAAAGAACAGAAGTTTATTTGGCACACAGTTATGCAGTCTGGGGAGTCTAGGAGCATGATGCCAACATCTGCCACATCGTAGTATAATGGAGGGCATCACATGAGGAAAAAGAACAAGCATGACTAGCTCTAGTCATTCTCCTTCTAATGTCATCCAGAGGGTTCCACCTGGTTTACCTCATCTATCCCTAATTACCTCTTAAAGGCCTCACTTTAAGATACCATTAACATGAATTTGGGAATTAAATTCCTAAAAGATGAACTTCTGAGGGACACATTCAAACCATAGCAAGATTGTAGCAAATTTTGAACTTCAAGTTAGTTTACTTATTTCCCTGAGTTGCTCAGTTGTTCATGAATTTGGAATACTTAACTATAGAGAAGATAATAATTATTTTCAAAGGGAAACAATTTTAAAATTTTGAATTTCCAACTTAAGTTGGAAGGATAAGTAAGTATTGATAAAAAGAAATTTGAAGGAAAAGGCATTTGAGACATTGTTCAAGTAGATTGCCTTTAGAATGTGAATTGTCACTTCAACTTGTATTAGGTACCAGTTTTTGTCTGGTTGGTTCTTGGCAAAGGATTAGAAAAAATGTCTTTCAGTAAAAAGGGCCAAGTGCCTATCTGACTTTAGATGTGAATTTGAGAAGTGCAGTGGGCTTTTGTTTACTAAAATTAGCCTTTGCTTCTTAGCTCCCCCCCCCCTTTTTAAAGAAATTCTAGATGTTATACAAATGCACAGAGGCGGACACATTTTTAAAAAATATTTATTTATTAGTTATAGATGGACATAATATCTTTATGTGATGCGTCACACATGGTAGTCAAGCGCTCTGCCTCTGAGCCACAACATCAGCCCCAGCTTCTTGGGCCTTTTGACTCATGCATGATAGTCTGTGTTGACCATTTGCTTCTTAACTTTCCTTTCAGTACGGCATGAAAGGACAGAATATTTAGAATGAGTAAGTTTGGAGAGCTGGGATCAGGGAGCCATTAGAAAGGAGGCTTTTTGAGTGAAATGTTTCTGAACATCAGTGGCTGTGGCTACGGATAGAGTGATTGTATCTCTCAGTTTGTCTACCAGTTTTTGTTGAAGCTTGTAGTCCTGATCTTAGTATTAATATGTGCCCCCTTTTTCTTTGAAAAATGTCCTGGTTTGGGTAATAAATGATCCAGTCACCCCCACAGGTAAAGTGCTTTGCATCAGACACTGTATCAGCTTTTTTCTTTAATCCTCATAAAACGCCTGAAAAGGGTAGCCACTGTTGTCAGTTTCAGTTTAATTTACAAATGAAAATATACTCAGGAACATTGAATGACTTGACTGAGGTCTCCTGGTGGCAGACTTGATGAGCAGAGGAAGGACTGTCACCTTGTTCAGTCCTTGTTCTGCACACCAGGTCTCAACAAGACTTCCAAAGCTACTTGACTTCTCCCAGCCTGATGCACCAAGGTTTAATGTGTACGGCCTCCATTGATACTTTAGATCTAGTGAAGGTATTCCTGTAATGATTAGGGAGAAACTGTGGATTGGGAGTCTGGAAAAAAATTAAGGTGAGGCCTGTGTTGGGGCTATTGCGGGAGGGTAGAGTTCTGTGATATGTAGACCTCCAGGCTTCATCTGGTCCTTGAAGGGTTTAGCCAACTTGTTGCTCAGGCCTGCGGTCTTTGAGCTTGAGATGAGAAGGGTTGGTAGTTTTATTGATTGGCCCTGCTCAGATTTTAATGTTCATATATATTAGAAATCTTGTAAAAATGTAGCTTAATTCCATAGGTCCGTATGGGGCCCGAGACTTAGTATTTGTAACAGGCTCTTGGTATGCTGATTTTACTGGTCTACCACATTGTCTTTGAATAGCAGGGGCATAGCTGATGATTAAATTCTCTCTGCCTGGGGTACAGAAGTAGCCGTTCATACAACAGATGTTCTGACTAGGACTGAGGGGATTATATACCTTCGTAATTTAGAAGGGAATAGATATTTAAATATGGATGCTTTAAAAGGAAACATTTTGCTTTTGTAATGAATGCATGTGGGTTAATTTTAAAATATATCCTTAGCTTGGAGGAAGGGAGGACATAGAATCTCAGGAAGGAGTAGTGTGAGGTGGGGGGCAATACCCACATGGGTGAGCTACTGCTTAGCTTGTGCAGTGTTGAACACAGCTTTGACAAACACAGACAGGAGCAAGCAGAGTGTCTACAGCCAGACAGGAATAGCGTGGATGGATGACACAGCAGCAAAGCTTAAAAAAAAAAAAAAAAAGCCTCCAAAGGGAGGAGTTCTTCCCACAGACTGACCATTTTTCCCCCTCAGGCTCTGTGCCTGAGTGTGCTGAGAGTATGCTGCTGGAAGCTCTGGCCAACTATTCATGTATTGGACAGCATTATACCCCGCTCTGTCCTGCCTTGCTCAAATCCTGCCTGGGCATATCCCAGGTGGGACTGCTTCCTGTATCTGCTTGCTTGCTTCTTGCAACAGGGGAGAACAAGAGGATGAAGTGCTACCAGCCTATACAGGTGTAAGCAGTCTTCCTGCTGAGGCTGAGACTCTTGCTATGAACCCCGCCCGCCCCCCGCATGCACCCCCCCACACACAGACATGAGGAAGAATCCCAGTGACAAGGGATCGTGTTGGAAAAGGCCTGACACAGGAGGAGACATTGGTGAAAAGGAAATGGCAGGGGCTCCAGAAGTTGGACTTTCTTAGGCTTTGTTGCTGGAGCTGAGAGTGGTCACAGAAATAGGTTGTTGGTCCTGGTAGCAACCCTGAGAAAAGGCTCAGTAATTAAAGATGCTAGTGACCACCTTCAATGCTGGCATTACCCCAAGGGCTTCTAGAAGGTCAAAGTCAAGAAAAGTAGTATTGACAGAGCCAGATATTGTGAGCTCCTGAACATGGTGTTTCTGATAGGGCATAAAAATACTTCTGAGATGGTTTCTCTTGTTTGGGTGTGTCCATGAGTGCTTTGGGAATGTTGCCTTAAGTTGCAGGAAGGAGGGGAGGCACTGGATCCATATGTCTGCTCATGACTGGTGCCCCTTCTGTTATGCTAAGGGGAGCCTGTGAGAGCAGATCTCACTCTAGCATTTGGGTTGTGGACCATGTCCTTTGAGAGATACCTGAAACAGCCTAGTGACTCTCCCTCCCTTTGCCAAAGCTGACCCCTTTTCTCTGTTTAAGGTGCTCCAGACAAGCCTGAAGCACTAGTGGTGTTCCCCGGGGTTCAAGTGCTCAGTGTTTTTCTGAAGGTTACTCCATTCCTCAGTAATAAACATTGCTGTGTCAGGGTGCTGTTCAGGGGCCACTTGGAGCACATAGATTTTTGCTAGCAGGATTGTGAAGCTTTGCATTGGGCTGCAAAGCCAGGGCTTGAGCCAGCAGCTGGAGAGAGTCCAGGACTAGAGTGTTTTTGGGTTTGGGGGTGGAGAGCAGAGGGAGGGGCAGGAGGGCAGAGCCACAGAAGCAGGCAGTCAGCTAGCTGCTTTGGCTTTGCCATCAGCAGATAGGACTTTAATTGTGGCTGAGGGCCACTTGGCTACCATTTCTGGAGAGTGGAGGGTCTGCCTCACAACCTGGACTTACCAGCACTGCACCTAGACTATTCCAAGTAGCTCTTGTAGCTGTCTTTTCCCTGGGAGGCAAGTCTCCTCCCCGTTGTCCCTCCTGCTCCTCCCCCGTTCTGAGGGATGATGCCGCTCTCTATTGCACGGCTCAGCCGGCTGATGTCACTGGCAGCGGGAAGCATCAGCAGCCTGATCACATGCTGGCCCAGTCTGTAATGCAGACGGGATAGGGGTGTGTGTGTGGGGAGGGGGCTGTATGGCAACTGCTTTTGCTCCGACGCCCCCAAAAGTGCAGAGGCAGCCGCTGCAGCATCTAGCCAGCTTGGATGTCTGGCCCCCGAGCCTGCAGAAACTATTATTAATAATACTTATTGTTGATAATATTGGGGAAAACAACCGTTAACTCTGGGATTTCTGCTGTCTTCCTATCCAAAGCAGAGTTCCAGGACTCCGAAGAAACAGTTACAAGCAGGATGCTTTTCCCCACCTCTGCGCAAGAATCTTCCCGTGGCCTCCCAGATGCAAATGACTTGTGCCTTGGCCTGCAGTCCCTCAGTCTGACGGGCTGGGACCGACCCTGGAGCACCCAGGACTCAGACTCCTCAGCTCAGAGCAGCTCACACTCGGGTGAGTGCCAGAGAATGAGTTGGCTGGGGGAGGGGGATGCATGGGGTAGCAAAGGAAAATATCCACAGCAACAGTTGTTCTCTTCCCTTTTGCATCACCCCCCCCCCCCCCAAACACACAACATGGAGCTGTTTTGCAAGAGATGGAAATGCTAGCTGTGAGCCTGGCAGGACAGATGGCTGCTCGTAAAGGCAGACATGCCTTTTCCACTTAACCCTGATAATTCCCTGGAGTTGTTAGTCTACACCTGGGTGGCTGTGAGAAGGGTCCCCAAGGTGGCAGCCTTATGCAGAAAAGATCCACTAACCCCCTGGAACACAGGCCTGTCTTGGAGATGATGAAGCAAAACACTTTTAGGTGGGGGGAGGGGACTTAAGGGATTTACTACTAGGTGACCAGGTTCTCCCCCCTCCTCTGGCTTTTAAAACTTGGGAGCTATGAATGAAGGGTGGGTGGTCTCTGGGTAATGGCAAGGGAAGAATTTTAACCTCAAGTGGGTATTAACACTAGGCTAGGTATCATTCCTGGTATATTAGAATTGCCTTAACGTAAAGTTAAGAGCATTGATTTTGAAAAGGGGTAGGCAGTGAGCAGGGTGGGGTAACTCCCAGCTCCAGAGGCTTTTTTTCCCTTTTCTTTGTGTTGAGGGTAACCAGAGGGAGGAAAGAAGAGCCACTCCCCTTTAGGATCCCTTCTTGTCTTCATAGTCTTTGATGGGGAGAAATTAAAGGGACTTCTTGGCAACCCCTTAAATTGCTTCTGCTCAGACTTTCCCATTACCCATTTATTTCCCTCTTGTGACACAAGGGGAAGGTTGGCAGATACAAGTCTTAGAGTACTTGGAAAGAAATGTGAACTTAAATACTATAGGTATACATATTTTACTTTATGTAAGTTATACATAATAAAAGGTAGTGACAATTCTATGGAGGAAGATAGAAGGCACAACATGCATTCCATTTGCTCTTGATGCTGACAATGGGATACACTGAGCCTGTTGTCCTTCCCTATCTCCCCATCCAGGGACCAGCAGTCATGGCAGCAAGGTACTGTCATGTTGAATTCTCTGGCCTCCACCTTTTTTAGACTAGGTCTTTTTTTTAGAATGCTTTGCAAAGCCTGGGATTGTTGTGTTTGTTAGGTATTTTGAGGCACATTTCCTTTGGTAAAATCCTATTTGGGAGAAGGAGATTGGAGATAAATATATTTATTTATTTATTTTATATATATTTATTTATTTTAATTTGAATGTGGGTAGGGAGATGCTTTGCTTTAAGTAAGTACTTCTGGGTTACGGTGGGATCTCTCAAAATACTGACCTTCAGCTGACTCAGGCTGTTCTGGAAAGGTTGGTAACTGTCCTGTTCCTTTGAACAGTGGAGATAGTGTCACTGTTTGGTTCATTGGCTGCACCTTGACTTGGACGCCACGGTACTTTGTGTGTTCTTTGAAGCCAACCATGTCTTGTCATCCCTCCCACTGGATCTGAACAAAAGACTGAAGAGTTCACATGGGAGATGGACACCTATCTGTGGGTAATTGGTGTTTGATCAAGCCCTTGTACTGGTATCAAATTAGGGTGTGGTCCTTCTTTGGCTCTGGTTTTTTAGTAGCTACTAGGGACATTCTGAAATATATCTTTGGATCCATAGAAATGCAGATGTGTCCCGTTTGGGGCTTAGAGAGCTTGGTCTGACAGTTACTGTGAAATTAGGATATAAAAAAGAGCTTGGCTAGGTGCGATTATGCCTGTAATCTCAGCTACTCCAGGAGGCTGAGGCGAGAAGATTGTTGAGTCTAGGAGTTCTCAGCCAGCTAGAACAACATAGCAAGACCCAGTCTTTAAAAAGAGAAACAAAATAAGGCTTGGTATCCAGTCGTAATTTCCCCAGTCTGCCACCACTTGAAAACTGTGCTTGTAGCTGTTTGTCTGTGGAGTCATCTTTTTTTTTTTTTTTCCTTTTCCACCTTGCATCTCAAGCACTTTAGTGATAAATATTACATGATTTTGTGGATCAGGGAAGGATTTCAGTCTGAGCCTCAGATTCATAAGGAGTGGAGGGTTGTCCCAGCAGTATGATCTGGTTGGGGGCAGTGTTAGCCTGAATATTTCTCCCCTCTGAGGATTGAGGACACACCCATCCCTAATCGACATGTTGTCTTTGGTTTTTGGAACTGTGGTGGCAGCCATCTCTCTTATTTGCCTGAGCTGTGGGCCTTCTTGGAAAGCCCACATGTGGGTACTGCCTCCTAGAGTAGGATGCAGCCCTCCCACCAACCAGCTGCAGTGCCAGATCGAGCACCCTTGCCAGCAATGCGGGAACATGCAGCCCACATTCCAGTGCCTACACTGCCTTCCCATATGAAAACCAACTAGGTCAGTTTCTTCAGGGAGGGAGGAGATATTTCAGCAACATTGGGCTATCTTGGAGATTCCTTGTAGAGTCGGCCTCATACCCTTTTGTGTCTGTGTGGAGTCCAGAGTGCAAACTTATTTCTTGGGCTTTGCTTTTTGACATATTGCCCCAGGCAGCTAGGGCTTCATCTGATCATCCTTTAAACTTTTAAGTATTTGGAAAGGTTGAAGAACAGGACTCTTGACTAAAAATTTTTGACGGAATTCATTCAGCAGGTATTAAGCACCAAAAAGTATGCCAGTCACTGTGTTAGGCACTGGAGGTACCTAACCCCGATCATAGGACAAAATTAAGATTCTCCATGAGTATCAAGGGAAAACAGATGAGAAAGCATACCAAATGTAGCACAATAACTCAATAACTACTGTAATTGGGGCTTCCATTTTCTATCCTAAGGATTTTGTGTGTGTGTGTGTGTGTGTGTGTGTGTGTATATATATATATATATATATATATATATATATATATATATATATATATATTTTTTTTTTTTTAGTTGTCAATGTACCTTTATTTTGTTTATTTATATGCGGTGCTGAGAATCAAACCCAGTGCCTCACACGTGCTAGGCAAATGCTCTACCACTGAGCCACAACCCCCAACCTTACCCTAAGGATTTTTTGTACTAGGATACCCTTCCACTGGATTCTTAGCTTGAGGCTGGTACATGTGGTACAGGGAGAATATTCTCCAGGGGCTAGAGTGCTTTTTTTTTTTTGGTACTGGGGATTGAACCCAGGGTGCTTAACCACTAAGCCGAATTCCCAGCCCTTTTGTAATATTTTATTTAGAGACAGGGTCTCTCTGAGTTGTTAAGTGCCTTGCTAATTTGCTGAAACTGGCTTCGAACTCCTGATCCTCCTGCCTCAGCCTCTGGAACTGCTGCTATTACAGGGGTACATCACTGCTCATGGAAGGTAGAGTGCTTTTGCTATGTAGATTTCTTTGACCTCAGAGGCTTGCTGGAAGACCCTCAATGGAGTCTGTTTTTGAGAGTTGCCCCTGTAAGGCCAGCTTCTCCTTTGCAAGCTCCTCCCGTCTAGTCTGTACACCCCTTGCTGGAATGGAAGTCATAAAAGCAAGATGAATGTTAGAAGTGCATTTTTCTAAAAGACCTCATTGGCAGATGTCCAGGGGTACTTTTTTCCTTCTTGTAGTATCTTAAGCCCTGTATGCTATAGGAGGGCTGTGGAAGCTATCCACAATATCCTAGGATAGGGATGGAGTGACTAATAGCCACAATTTATCAACTACTTTTTATGCTGAGCATGTCGTGATTTTTTAATACTTATTTTTTAGTTGTAGTTGGACACAATACCTTTATTTTATTTTATGTGGTGCTGAGGAGCGAACCCAGGACCTCACACATGCTAGGCGAATGCTCTACCTTTGAGCCACAAAAATCCCAGCTCGTGTCATGTGATTTTAATGCTTGCATAGATAAGGAAATAAGCTCACAGAGGCTGCAAAGTGACACAACTACACAGACCCAGCTTTCCAACCCTGTCCTAAAACTCCCATGTTCCCTGTTAAACTTGTGTTCCAACGGAGAATCTTAATGTTGGACAAGTAAGACTTAAGATCATCTCCATATGCGGTACAAGGGACTGTTTAGCCAGAGCTTAGGTGCTCCCTTGATAAGGTCTCTAACAGCGAGGGCATTGGATACAGTTCCCACTGTCCCTCCCACCCCTGAGTCTCAGTTCATCAGCTGTACCACCTGCTGGATTTGTCTTTTGCCTCCCCCTTGTTAGTCTTCCCTGTGTAGTGTTACTCAGCAGGAGAATGGGGCTAACTCTTTTGAGAATATACTTTGAGGGATCTAGAAACAAGGACTCTTGATGAACAGAATCCCAGTGGAGAAACCAGATGCTCAGTCTAAAATTGCCGATACATCCTGTCTCTTCCCACTCTCTTTAGGAGTCCCATGGAAATTAACCTGTGTGCCCTCTCAGGTTTCTACCTAACCAGTGAATAGAATGTTCCCTGTGCTATGTCACTTGCAGGCTCCCTATTGATGTGTGGGAAAGATCAGCCTGGAATGAGAAGGAAATCTTATAGCATTTTGCTTCTTTACTTCCAGTGTCTTCTAAATGAAGTTCTGAGACAATATTTAGAATAGGGTTAGGTGTCTCCTATATAGCACTTGGACTTCCCGCCCAACCAAGTTCCCTTATAAATATGACTTAACTTCTAATTCTCCATTACTGTATTCCCATCATATAACACAGTGCCTGGCTCATGTCTGCTTAATAAATATTTGCTGCATTAATGATGAATTCTGAGCCACTGTATTCTATTCCATTCATGCTGGGTAGCTTCCCCCCCCCCCCGCCCCCACAGTTGCTGGGGATTGAATCTAGGGCCTCATATATTCAAGATAAGCCCTCTACCACTGAGTTATATACCCAGCCTATACTGGGTGTTTTTTTTTTTTTAAAGTGCATAGTTCAAACAAGGTCTCTCCTATCCTGCCTCCTACTTGTGTTGATAACTTAGATGGGCCCATTCTTTAAAGTTAGTGTCTTTGACCCAGTAACTTCTAGGGCATGATAATGCACTTATACAAAATTTTTATCATAG